CAATGCATGAACAATTAATACCATTATATCATACAAAAGTATATATTCTTTCATATAACAAATACCCATATGCACATATATCATCATTTACATTCTTAGCATTATCATTAATTTTTTTTATCATATGATCTTGTATTTATCATTTCTGTATATCATATAACACATATATCATTTCACAAAGAAACACACATAAAATCATACCAAGTTTATTTATTTATTCTCTTTATTAGCCCATGTATTCTTCTGTGAACTAAAGATATGTGAGTACATTGAGGTTGTGCACATATGTTGTCACCACAGCTCGTATAAATTCCCACTAGGGGCACATAGAATTTGTCCCGAATGACCACATATATGTCCCGAATGACCACTCCTTAAGGATCATATATATATTCCAAAGGACCAAATATGTGTCCCGAAGAATCGCATATATGTTCCAAATGATTACATATATATCTCGAAGGACCACGTAGAACCCTCGATTCTTGGCATGCCAACTATACCCCTAGCTCTCATAACACATAACATGGGCATTATCATATATGTTTGTCACATATTCACATAGTCATATCACATAGACATATATTCTTATAGTTTCTTATCATATCATTCATATCATATGTCTTATCTCTTGTGATCATTTAATCACGTCACTTATTTTCACATACTTTTATTATCACATAGTTGATACCATATCACACATAGTCACATAGGTCAATATTATTTAACTTATTTCACTTTTCATATGTTCACATATTTCCTATTACATGATTTATATCATAATCATATAACATGCGTTCACACAGATCATATCACATGTACAATAACATATAACACATATACTCATATCAATCACATGCTTATATTCATGAGTTCATGCGTTCTAATATATGAAATAGACTTGTCACAAGTCTTATTTCCATTAAACATCATATACTAACTAATATGCACTCACCTGGCCTTACTAGTCCATTTATATACATACAACTATTGTACACTTTTATAATTTTGAACCATCTTGGACTTGTCTTCGATCGATATCTACAAGATACATATAATCGATATGAATATCTTAATTCTAATAACTTATAACCAATCATCAATAATCTAAACTAAATGAAGTATCTAATTCTCCTTTCACTTTGAGTAGTATCGGTACCCAAAGTATGGTACCAATACTTCCATAGATGTGGTATCGATACCAAGCATGGGTATCGAAACCTTATTTCGATTCTGGAATCCTTATTTTAAAATGGTATGGATACTTGCTTAATGGTATCGATACCCCCAGTATCGATACTACTCATTTGGTATCGATACTCTTTAAACAATTTATAAATTTTTGCCTTATGGTATCGATACTCATTCAACCAGTATCGATACCCATACCCCAATTATCACTCATTTTCTCTTTGAAGTATCGGTACTTAATAAACATTACCGATACCCCTGACCCATAATTTATTTGTCTTACCCGAAAATTTACCAAACTTGCTTAAATCTTCTACTATAACCTCCTTTCCTTTAAGCTTAACTACACTTTATTCTAATTAACTTAGATCACTTTAATCTATCCTAATATCCAATATCCCATATACACACTTGAATTTCTAACACTTTGAATTTCTTATTTCAACTCATGACAAGTAAAATTCAACTTCAAAATCCATCTACTCATTCTTTTTCAATAATTCACTTAAAAACTCCTTTTACTTAATCACTCATAACTTGTTCATTTTTTAGTTTTAAGCCACTTAAAGCTTCCCTTAAGCTTTCTTATCACTCTAAGAATCAAAAGAAACTTTAAAATGAAAGAAATAACTAACTTGAGACAAAGAAATAACTAACTTGAGACCACTTACCTTATCCACGGTGACACAGGAAGAGAAGAATAAGATAGTTGAACACTCAACTCTCTAAACTTTTCTTTTCCTTTTTCCCTCTCATTTCCACATGTTTTTTAACCCAAAACGTAAAGATAAAAATCTTCCTTATGAAAAGATCATAATGCCCTTTATACTTCCAAGCTTTGTTATTCAACCCTTACACAAAGATATTCCAATTAAGTCATTAACTTTTAAATTTTTCAAAATTTAGCACTAAGTTTTCAAAATTTTCATTTTGGTCATTAACCCGGTTTTTGGGATGTTACAATAATGTTCTCAATTTTTTGATTTAATAACAATTTAGCTCATTATAAGTTTAAATATTAGACAAATTATAAATTAAATTTTACATTTTAAATTTAAATACCTAATAAATCACATTGTATTTTTTCTTAAAAAGTTCGATAATTTGACCCCTGCCACCGTCCCTGCCTCCAGCTACCATGATAATAAATAAAGAGAACCAAGGGAAGGGAGGTCACCGATTTGGACTCTACCATGAGCCGTTTGATGCTCTCTTCGAGCAAGGAATCCAAGCCGGATTTCCCCGATTCTACTTCTTCCGGTTCATCGGATGAGAAGAAGGTACTACTTTCATTACAATTGCTTCATTTATCAAGTTTTTTTTCCCTTTGAAATGAACCAACTTGTTCCCTCTTCTTTGTTTTCGTACTTTGGTTTCAGGATTGCTAGGAACACTACACACCAGGTAGTTTATTTACCAGTAGTTACAATCTTTTTATTGCCTTTGCTAATTTAAGGTCGATTTGATATATTTTTAATTGATTTCTACTTTGGGTGCTTGTTAGATTGGTAGTAAATTGAGCAGGAATACGAACTGTGCAGCAAAAGATATTAAATTTGGGGTCGAAGCTCGAGCTTTGATGCTTAAAGGTGTTGAAGAGCTTGCTGATGATGTTGGAGTACCCATGGGTCCCAAGGTAAATCCAATATTCAGTATTCACCATTTTCATTCATATAAATTCGTTCGATGTTTCGAGGTTAATCATTGATTGAAACAGTTTAGTGCGATGAAACTTTTGTTGAACGTCACTTTTTTGATCTGCTTTAGGGGCGTAACGTGGATATCGAACAAAGTTACGGTGCCTCCAAAGTGACTAAAGATGCTGTAACTTCTGCAAAGAGCATTGAATCCAAAGACAGTCAAGAACGTGGGTGCGAGTCTTGTGAAACAAGTTGCGAATGCCACCAATGATACAGCGGGTGATGGTAAGAAAATTCATTTGAAATCATCGAATATTTTTGTGTTACTTGTGGCTATTCATCTTTAAATCTAAATCAGAAACCGCAGAAAAACAAATAAAATGAGAACAATTCAAATTCAGAAAAGGATATTTAACTCTGATAGTTCTAGCAGTGTTTCCAGTGGAAAACCAGCAAGTGAACCGAGGTTGCTTTCGGATCGGATGGCCAGTAGGTTGATGTTTGACGGCGGCTTTGCCATAGCTGGAGGAGGACGAGGAGATGGGGTATGCGGTGCAGTGTAAGGGAAATTAAGAAATAAGCATAATAAAAAAATGGTAAATTGTAAATTTGTCCCTAAACTACTTTAAATTTACAAAAAAGCTCATAATTAAATTTTATCTAAAATTAAAGGTTAAAATAAAAATTAAACCATTTTATTAATGTGTCGCATCATCAAATCGTTAAACCTTTAACGGCCGTTTAGGGTGAACAACTACATCTTAATTAAAACGAAATGAAATTGACTACGAATTAAATTTTTTAAATCGGGTGACTATACATTTATAAAATTAAACCAAAAGTGATCAACTCTATAATTTATCCTTTTTTAACAACACGGTCTCCTATGCCTGCAGCGACTAATGAGGTGAACGACAAGGAACAATATTTCATTCAATTACAAATTCGACATCTACCGAATATTAGTAATCTCCACCTCGATTACCTGATTACTCGACCCGATACCCGACCCAATAAATATTAAAAATAATTATATATATATAATATTAATAAATTTAATTTAAATTAAAAAATATATATAATATTTATATATTTAATTTAAATATATATACCCCACCCGATAACCGACTCGATACCCGTTTAAATAACCGTTTATGCTAAATGGGAATATCCGTTTCCCCGCGATTTTCTCTCCGATTACCCGATGGGGATCCCCGTTTAAATCCCTGTGATTTTTTAAACGGAAAAGGGTACGAATTTTTTAAACGGGAATAGAGACGGGACCAATACCCGGCCCGTTGTCATCCCTAAGATAAAAAAAGTGTATTTAACTTAGTTTCTGAATTTTGTGAATTGAAATTTGTTTTAAGTTGGCGGCCTGCTCAATTTAAAATTGGATCTTTTCAGCCAATGGTCCAATTCAAATTTTGGAGTCTAACTTTTTTTTTGGTCTTCGGCCTTGCATTTGCCTTCTTGTGCACTATCCTTTACTGCTTTATTCGAATTTAAATATTTTTTTTCTGTTTCAATCTAGAAAGTGGTTACAAATTCAAATAAAATTTAAAAATTTAATTTTATATCCTAAAATTAAATAATTTATCATTTGAAAATAAATAATTTTTAATAGTATAGAGTAGTTTTTTGGTGATATATATATTCATAATTTTACTGCTTGAACCTAATATTTATAAGGAGAACAAAACTTCATTTAAACCACCGATGAATTTAGAAAAATGAATAATTAAAATAAAATTTTTAAAATTTTATATTCAAATTTTATCATATTAAAATACTATGGGTTGATTTTAGAATTAGATCTTATTATAATTTAAATTGTGCAATATATGATATATATATAATTTAAATGTTTATAATTAACAATTTTTTGTAACATTATGCATGATAATAATTAATTTTAAATCAGAACTATTCGTGAATAATTATTATTTTGTTTATGTATTCTATTAATTAATTCTTGATGATAGTTATAATTTAAAAGATACATTAATTGTATTTATACTTATAACATAGAAATTCTATAAAAAAAAAGAATATTTTATATATTTTCGGAAAAAGAAAATAAGATATGTGTGGTAAATGAAGATAAAGGAGGTGTTAAATAAGGTTAGCTGGCGAGAGGGTGGCTAGGTCGGCTTATGTTTGAAACGCATTTGTGATTTCTCTTTTATCCCCCTCTCCTCTCATTTTCCCCTACGTTTCCTTTTTCCCTTCTCCATTTCCCTCTATTTCCCACTCCAATCAACCTTCTACGTAGAGGTTTACTTCGTGGAGATTAGCTAAGAAACCTATGGATTTGGATCTCATTCTCTTTTCAACGACAGGAAGTAGAACTACAACAGCTTGAAGCTAGTTGGAAGAAAGAAAAGCTGTGATTCTTGGAAAAAAAGAATTTCAAGATTTTGAGGGGAAAACAGATTGATCCTGCCTTGCTGGGTTTCAAGGTTTCAAGCAACCGCATTTTGATGGGTGAGATCCAACGCCCTGATGATTAATTGTTCTCATCTGCGCGTACCGCATCATGTTGTACATTTCCCGTAATTTTTTTTTCTTTTTGCTGTCTTTAGATAATTTTCATTTCTGTACAGACTCATAGTTGATTGATTGATTTTTCGGTTTGATCAAAAAAAAGATTTTGAGGGAAAAAATATAAAGAAGACAAAAGAAGTGTAAGGATAGTAGTTTTGTTTTTTTCCCATTTTTGGTTCGCTCGGCGTTGGAAAATGAGCGCCTCCAGGTTCATAAAGTGTGTCACTGTCGGTGATGGCGCCGTCGGCAAAACCTGTTTGCTGATTTCCTACACCAGCAATACTTTTCCTACGGTGATCCTTTCTAATTTCTTCCTGATTTTTTCCGAAATTTTGTTGCATGATCGCATTATTAAGTATTGATTTTTGGAGTTGTTTCTCAGATAAATAAAGAATTAAAACAGAAAGTTTAATATTTATGTAGTTTTAATTTTAGGATAAAGGAAAGAAGAATGCTTTAAAACGAGTAGTGTTCTGGTAAGCTTTGTTCTAATATATTATTATCCACAACTTTGAAATTGCTATGGAAATTTTGTTGTCATTTATAAATTCTCTCAAGATTAGGGTTTAATGTCGTACAATGTAAGGCAGACGATCTCTTTAACAGTTAAATTGAGCTTTATTCCACTATAATTAATACCAAGATTGGGACATAACGTACTGTGTTAGGTTTATGATATCTTGGACGCTGATTTTCTTTATTGGCAACTAATTTCTTTGCAACTCTTATGTTATCAGGACTATGTCCCGACTGTTTTCGACAATTTCAGTGCAAATGTTGTTGTTGATGGCAGCACCGTCAACTTAGGTTTATGGGATACTGCAGGTAATTTGGAACGGCTTCTCAATACATACATATATTCTGTTAGTGAGTTTGAGTGCTTGCTTTCCCCCTCTTTCCGATGAAATTATTATCTTGGAACAGGTCAGGAGGATTACAATAGGTTAAGACCACTGAGCTATCGCGGGGCAGATGTCTTTATTCTTGCATTTTCTCTCCTAAGCAAGGCCAGTTACGAAAACATTGCCAAGAAGGTTTAACTATTGAATATCATTCTTTGATACATTAACTTCATGCAGTATGAGTTGCTGTAATGTCATGTTTATACTGATCATTTGTTTTCTTTTCTTTTTAGTGGATTCCTGAATTAAAGCATTATGCACCTGGTGTTCCAATAATTCTCGTTGGAACCAAGCTTGGTATGATTTGTACTCCCGATATATTGACATCCTTAACGTATGCTTGCCATGGCTGTGTTTGTGGATTTTGATCAGTTCATTACCAGTGACTGAAGATCTTTCTGCTTCATGAAATAATCTTTTGTTCTATACCCTTTGCTGCTGCAGATCTCCGAGATGATCAGCAGTTCTTTATAGACCATCCTAATGCAGCGCCCATTTCCACAGCTCAGGTACAGTATTTGCAGATTATTAATTCATTTTTTTTTTCGAGAACATATTCCACTTATTTTCTTTAAAACTATTGATCTTGCATTACTTCCTTTTGCAGGGAGAGGAACTAAGGAAGCAGATAGGGTCTCCTGCCTACATTGAGTGTAGTTCAAAAACACAGCAGGTTAAATGCTCTCTACATATTCTTCATATTTTTTGAACTGAAAAGTTGGTTTTGAGGCTATTCATTTTAATGGAATCTTGCGCAATGAATCCAATGCAGAACATGAAGGCAGTGTTCGATGCGGCCATTAAGGTAGTGCTCCAGCCTCCGAAGAAAAACAAGAAGAAAAAGGCACATGGTGGTTGCTCAATATTATGATTGACGGAAGATTTGGTCTTGCCAGCTTATTGCTGCTTGTATCTCTATCACCGTCAGCTTGACATTCAAGGAGTAGCAAAGCCATTATGTATAGTCTGCCAAGTTTAAACCGACATTGTAGGATTTCCTTAAAAATGAAAGAATCAAGTGGTTTTTCTGTTTTTGGTTTGTGTTTCTTATTGTCGAATCTATATGAATGATGATAAAGCTATAACATGGACACTTCTGGTATTACACATTAGCTGTTTTCTTGCATGATATGTTTTAATTAAGAGCTTATTTGCAGTGGTTAATCAGGGGATATACTGTTGGCCTTGTTTAGTGAGAAAAGGGGGACATAAAAGTAACTCTAGAGAGCTCTTAACATGAATTCCAACTCCAGAATAAATCCCATTTTCACATCTCTGGCTGTTATGAATGATTTTTCTACCTTACTCGACGATTTAAAGTTTAATGGATTCGGATTTCTCACTTGCTACTGGAACTGAATGTACCGCAACGTGCTGGCAAGGAAAGCATCCGAAAAAGTGAGGGAATGGTTAAAGAGAATGAGCTTTGAAGTCACCTCTCCCCGTCCTTTATGCCGTCTTGACTTTCAACCCAAAAAAGATGTGAAAATGTATAATCAGCTGGTCGAAATTGGCCCAATATCGCATTTAAAAATTTTTAGGGTTCTATGAAACATAAACTTTCAATGTGAAATCTACAACATTTGCTACAGTGTTTAACAAACTCGTCATGTCGAGTGACTAGTTCGTCCAAATAATATTTTTTTATTAATTTTTATCACATCGAGATAAAAGCTTGAAAAATATATTTTTTTTATTAGAATTCGTCATCTCGAGGTGACGAGTTTTATGCACTGTAGCAGATGTCGTGATCCCAAATTAAAAGTCAAACAGCCCTAATTGTCAAATTTTTTTCTGGGCTGCCGTAATGGGCCAAAAACGCCTAATCAGCTCTACACTGATCATCTTTCTTGCACAATGTGGAGAGTCCCAACTGATTATAGACTGAATTGCAGTCACTTGGGCTCTAGAGTCCTATGAGCAAAAAAAATTCAGGAAATAACAGTAGATTAGACTGAATTTCAATATTAGCTGATCAGTGTACAATTACCACAATTTCTTCGTACAATTAACAGAGTAGAAGACTGATTACAGAGATGCCATAATGGGGGCAACTGGAATAAAGCCTTAAGCAAACAATTGTGTTAAGAGATATACGTCCCGTGCCCAGGAAGAGAGGGAAAGACACCAGATACAATAAGAAAATCAATTCACATCACCCACCTGGAGCTGGGGGCAAGCACTCAACAATGTCTTGAGTGATACTCATCAGGGAACACCTAAATTATGCAATCCATCAGATAATATTGGGCAAGATCATTTTTTGCTATTGACAACCTGTAAAAGAACAGTATAAAATCTTTTAACGCCACAGACCTTCGACTTGTTACATTTGAGGGCGAAAACAGTTGAGAAAGAAGTAAAATTACCTGCTCAACCACCCCTTCTATCTGACTGAGAACATGGAGGTTTTTCCTTACCTAACAAGAAAGTGCAGAACATAACAGGGGTTAATTTCCCTCAATGGGCATCAAACACAGTATCAGAGTTAACTATCAATATTACAAGATCTTGATGTTCACTCCTTTCGTTTTGCTGCCTTGAAGGCTTCAACTCGGGATGACCAAGGAGGATGAATGACCCACAAACACCATACACCTGCTTGGCCAAAATGTATGCTCTCGTGACTTATTTTCTCTTGTATGACATGCAAGTACTGTGGTGCATTGCGCACCTTAGGAAAATAAGAGAGATCAAATATTTAACAAACCTGCAATTCATTCGCACCCAAAGTTTATTCATCTCGGTGAAATGCTGCCGCACAAATTCCATAGCATCCATCACAGTGTCAGTATCACTGCATGAAGACCGAAGCATGTCTCCTAACTAGTTAATTACAAATGTTTGCAAATTCTTTTGCACGTCTAAATTTGCATATCCTAACTTAGACCTACCAATTAAAAATCCATTAATCTGCATGCACTCGCTTCTAAGAAAAGCAGACACCAGCTCTTGTGGAGATTTAACAATATTCTATGGTAACTAAAAACAGAACAGAATCATAAATTTTAACAGAGTTTGTGTACAGGAAAAATGCAAAAGCTACTGCTTACTCTCTTTTTTTATTTTCTTCAAATATTGTAAGACAGAAAACTAAAAATTTTACTAATCTACTTCAAATAAAATAGCCATGAAAACTGAATTGGAAAAGAAAAACTAAGCAAGAGATCTCACCCCTCATTCTTGGAAATGCCTCGTAGTCGTATGGGATGTTGAACTCCACGACACATTTCCGCAAGGTCTTTAAGAACTTCCTTAGCAGGAGCGTCCTTAGATTTGATATAGATAGATCCTACCGTGTAGATTGCAAACTAGAGCTTCATAAACAATGACAATGAAGGTATAATATTTGAGAATATTCACATTCACAATACAATTTAAGTACTTGGGGCTTATCTAATACTGAAGCAGAAACTTCCAGCACAAAGCACATTTGCAGTTTTTCCATTCGTTTTCCTTAATAAAAACTAGAGTCCCATTTTTATGACAGGTCCTAAAATTATGGAGTGAAAAGAACTGTAGCGAATGAGAATGGATGCCCATAAATGTTTGGAATTTGAAAACAAAAAGGAAAGCTTAAGTATACTAAAAAAAGTCACTGAACTAAAAGCAAATAATTAGCCATATCATTTTATTAAAATATAATTTAATATTCTCGTGTGTGTGTGTGTGTATGTTCACTAAGATGAGAGCCTTGATTTGACATATATAGGCTAACACCGTCATCAACTTTTCATCTAAGAGGGCTCAATTAGACGGATATTGCAATGGAATTGGATAAAGGCTCAATGCAAAAAAAAAAAAAAAAAGCAATTGGATGATCATTTAGTTCTAGTTCAGTGATTTTTATATTTAAGCAAATATATCGAGAGAATTATGCTATTAGTTATTGTTTTTTTAAATAAAAATCACTTACAATCTAGGCAAAATATTGCCGGCATGTTGAACAAGCTCGTACAGAACAACCACGGGGACACCATGTTTGCTGTCTTCTTTGAATAACTACAATCTCTTCAATTCGCCAAAAGCTCGCATATCTGAATTCCAATCATAGACACTTTTTTTTAAAAAAAAATCAATCACAATTTAAAATTTTCAAACACAATTGACTCAGACAATGAATCAAAAGAAAAGGGAACAAATTATAATTACAAAGCTCATAGTATTTGTGAGCATGAGTTTGGACGTCCGGAGCTCCGATAGCGTCTGGGCCAAGTACTTGAGAGCTTCCCTAAGATTATTAGAATCCTGAGATTAGAAATATCCAAAATTAGCAGAAATGAGAGAGGATCGGCGATGTTGATCAGCTCAAATTCAAGGAAAGATAGGAAGATCTCTCGGAGATACCAAAGCTCGATGCATAGATAGAGCGTAGTGTTGAATACCGGCAATCCCTTCCGCCGGACATTTCTCGTCTTCTTCCGTTCGACAACCTTCTCTCTCTCGCTAATTTTTTCCAATTTTATTTTATTCATTTTTTAATATGCAATTTACATTTAGTCGGACTTATATAATTGGATGTGACGTTATAACAGTTAAATTCACCAACCGTACCCGTACTACTTATTTTATGAGGATTTTGGTCCCCATATTTTTATTGGTGAAAGTACCTGCTAGATATAGAAACTGCATTAATTTAGTCCATATACTATTAAATAAATCAATTTAGTCTTTATAGACCACTTTAAATTAGTATCCTTGTTATATGAATCGATTTATTCCTTGTACGAGTAAAAAGATGCCATTGTCAATGGTTGAGGGGGTGATGAACACTGACTATACTTATGTACAACTAGAAAATTCCTTGCCAACACTAAGATGTCGAACGAGCAAGCAGTTCGGGCTCATAGAGCTTTAGCAAGCAACTTGATCGGAACTAGCAGAGGGATATAATTTCCATACCCTCATACATGAAGGTCACTAGTAACCAATAAAATGAAGAACTTGGCAAACCATATCTTTCAGTTCCATTTAGTGATGATGACTCAATATCATAATGAAGAAATATACCAACACAAGATAGAAAACTAGAACAGAAGCATCATTCTATTGTTGAATACCGTAAAAAGGAACAGGGCTGATAATGACAAGTCACTTTGCAATTTGGCTAATTTATCGATATACATAAAGTAAATGTCAAAAAATAAATGTAGACTAATTCCCTTGTTTCCATTAGAAAATTCTCACTGTACATGTTGAAGTTAGCCAAAAAAATTAGAATTGTACAACTCGGGTATTGTAACTCAATCCGGCAATGAACACGAGCACAAGAATACAATGTCAAATACTTGTTAAAAGAAATTAGGATGCTCTTCGGTAAGGGAGCCAAAAAATAAGTTGCCCCTCCGGTATGGAAATCAAAATGGAACCGTGAACGGCAATGCATACATCTCAGCATCCGGTAGATAATGTGCCCGAGGACATGAAGTTGAACTAGAATGACAATGAACATCATTATCATCTAATCTCTTGGCCGCTGGTTTCCCTAGCTGCCTTTTAGGAAGAAGCCAGTCATCACCACTATCATCGTCATTCAGCTCGGGTTCGAGCATAGGTGGCAACCAATTCTCTATCAAAGTTTCATACTGCAATGCAGCCCTAAAAATCTTATTGTCTCTGGCTGATGTTCTAGAAGACGATGGATGTTTTTCTTTCTTTTCAACATCATGCCACAGTTTCTGTTGAGGCACAGAAGCAACAGAACAACTTGGTTCTGAAGGTGGACTATGCTCCTTCAATCCAACATTATGCCACAGTTCCCGTTGAGGCGCAGAAGCAACAGAAGACCTTGAATTTTGATTAGAATCTGCTGATACACCGCTAGAGCAAGCTGATTCTTTACTGATAGTTGCATCAGATCCATGGGGGGTTTTCAAGGTAAATCGAATCTTTATTTTCTTCCCTGTTCAATAATCAATACACAAATCAATATCCCAATACGTTTATATTTGCATTGCACTAAGAAACTAAGAGAACAAATATTTAGTCTTATATAACACAAGATTGAACAGAACTTACCATCAACCCTGCATTCACTATGGGGAACCGTTTCCCTTTTCCTCTTAAGGCTGTTTTGGCTACCTTCAGATATATATCCAGCTGGGGGTTCATGTTCTTCAGTAATGTTACTTTTCTCCAATTGAACTTCATCTTTATATCCACACTGAACATCATCAAGCTTCTTAAATTTCTTGGAGAGACATTGAGTTTTATTCTTCCCCTTCTTATCCTTATTTTTCTTGACCTTCTCCCCCTCCCTCTTCTTATGTAACTTTTGCTCTGATTTTGGTAGAACCCTTTCTCTCTCAAGCTTTATTGCATAACACAATATGAAATTTAGATGGCACGCAATGGAAGACCAAAGAACCAACGGTTTTTACCATAAAACTGATAATCATGGGCTCATATCACATTGTGCCAGGGATTTACCAAAGATCAATCAGTCAATAACAATGACAAAGATTTTCAGCCATATAATAAATCAAATAAGAATCAAGACCCATTCTTGAGAAAAGGAAGAACAGTTCAAACAAAAAAAAACCCTAAACCCAAAGTGTTTAATTAACTACAATAATTTTAGCAGACTTCTGCTATTCAAAATCCTAAGCCCTAAGAATTCCATTAATATATTAAAACAGCTTTTGTACAGATATTTGCATTTAAAAAAACCCTAATCCCAAAGTGTTTTAATGAACCTGTTTGAACAACCTCCATAGTTCTGCGAACAGATCTTCTCTATTCATAATAAAAAGAATAGTTAATAAAGCAATTAGCTTTACATACAAAGATTAGTTTACAAATCTTACAAATACACAAATCATAATCAAGTAACACAAAAGCATGCAGTTGAGCATCAAATGGAAAACCACAAGTACTTTTGCTCAACGAACCTTAAGCGATTCGACCAATCCCTGACTTAAATGCCCAGGAGCCGAGTAAGGAAAACACCGAGACATTATAGGCTTTTCTTTTAAAAAATACCAAGATCTTCCCCACAGAAACTATGATCAGTAAGCAAAGATTGTTTCCGTACCCAGAAAACTTATAGATCTAAAAGCTACTCTAAGATATTTCGCTTCAAAAAACACGTAATCTAGGCGGCAGGGAAAACTAGGTTTTATTTTTAGATCTGTTGAATTTAAGGGGCGAGCTTGGGTTTATATAGCGTGAGAAAGCTAGGGCTCAACCGACTTTACCAAGTCGGCTCTTAGAAGTTTCATTTTGTTTACCGAAAGTACCCTCAACTCGTTCCCAATTATCGAAAGAGCTATGGGCTTTTTAGTAACGTCACCATCAACTTGCGTATACAACTTGTATTCCGTGTTACAATTTGAATTTTGAATTTTTGGAAATAAATTTTTGTCTCGTTATATTTTTGTGGGTGAGATATGGCGAATTTTGATTCGATTCGCGCCGTATAAAATGCCACGTCCACAAAACTTAAACTCGCATGCACCACGACAGCGGGAAAATCCTGGAACTTCTGGAAACATAAATAGAGACTCATAGAAGAGTAAAATATGTTTGGGTTAATAGGTTTGATCGTAAGGTGAAGTCAAAATCAGAGAGGATTTTGTCGCTGAGCAGGCCACGGTCACATCAGCTAAGGATTAAAGTCGTTTTATTATTTTAAAAACCCCATTAATTATTTTTTAACAGTATTTCTTATTAAATTTCTTACAAAAATACCTCTTAAATTGTATATATAATACTATCTTGTGTTTTAAGAAATGCGAGTAAGGGTATCGTTACTTACACGGAGTAAGATATGCCTGACGTGATCACACTTTTCAAATAATGTAATTTAATATTGATATTAATGACTTTATTTTTTAAACTCCCCATAAATTAATTTAAAAAAACTCCAAGTTAAAGTGGATTGATAAACTTGTTCATTGAGTATTTTCAAGAAGTTAAATAAAACATTTGTGAAATGTTTGAGCTTTAAGGCGTAATATTACAATTTATCTTTCAATTGAAACTGATATGGACATATATGAGAAGTTGTAAGAGGGTACAAATCGCGTTTAAAATACTTAAAACGAAAAGAAATTGAAAAGTGACAAACATGTTTTTGTAAATAACTTATAGAGGCTTAAAAAACTCCAAAAATTATCTAAAGCTATGGATGTGTATATTTTAATTTTAACACATGAGACAAGTAGATGTTGCCTTCTATAATATACTAATAGCATCACACTAGAGAAACCTAAAGAAAAACTTCGTCTTAGACTTGTGTTTTTGGTATCGTCGGTACAAAAAGCAAAGAAAAAGCTCAAAAGTGTTTCTCAATGGGTGTTCGCTTGGACCTAATTGATGGAGCAAGAAGTTTCTCGATAAGCCCAAGCAGAAATCTAGATGCCACTAGAAGAGAATGTCTTGTGTTCTTGGTACCTTCAGTACAAAATACAATGGAAAAAGCTCAAAAGCGTTTCGAGAAGTATTGAAGAACCTCGCATCGTGTAGATTCATCTTGACCACGAACAACAATATTCTTATGTATCTGATATTGTCGAGGCACTTATGGTGCCTATATAAGCACGAAAAAAATGATGCCACAAGAAGAGGATGCATGTTCTAAACCAGAAGTTTTTCGAGAAGGGATAAATCATTTATGAAGAAATAAGAAGGTTTTGCAGAAATGGTTAAGTTCGGTGGAACAAGAGGAATTTAAATATGCAAGAAAGTTGAGTGTGTAAATGCGTCTATTAATGACATGATAGTGAACTCGCGCCTTGCACAATGCAATGTCCCTTTCATTTCAAACCTTAACTGCCATGTCAGCTACTGCCACGTCAGCTGCTGCCACGTCAAAAATATCTATGAAACTCACCTTATGTAAAATGTGAGTTGCTTGCCATGTCACATCAGGAATATTATTTGCAGACCCATGTCCCTTCTACATTACTTCAAAAAGTTAATCTACTAAAAACACGAGACTTACATTCAAATCCTTATTTCAAGCAAATGAAAGTGAACAGGCAAACCATACAGAACTAAAGTGAATGCAAAGATAAGGAAATGATCAACAATTATTTTAATTGTATGTTTATTTGAAGCTTCTCGAATATTACACAATTTTAACTCATTACAATTTCATGTATATTTTGTTCTTCTATTTGAATGATCGTAAATATTTTCATAACAAATCAAGAATATGAAGTTTTATTGTTATGGTTTACTATGATGGTAAAATGATGCGTGATAAATCTATCGACATCGTCTTTCAGTCTGCACAAACTGTGACGATAACGTTGTCGAAGAAATTAACTTATAAATAGTTAATGAAAGAAGTTAAGAATAATATGCCACATGGTCGCGGGAAAAAAACTTGAACCATTGAAGTATCAATTATCGACGTTGTTAGAACCACTAACCTATTTAATATACAACATTAAAGACGATGGTGATATGGACATGATGCTCGATTGCCACCTGCAGTATTCATTATGAGGGTCACTTGAGTTATATGCAAATTTTTATGAAGCTAATGATGCTACTACAATAAGTGTCCCAAATTGGAGATGGGCAGATTTTGAATTTGATCCTAATTTTCATAGTCTAACAGTTAATTTACGTAATGACTTCAACTTATTAAGTACATAAAATTGGGGCAATGACTTGGATGCATCATTGTCTTCGATGCCAAGGCATTCCTGTATCGTTAGCTTGGACTTTGACTTGAATATACCACCAACATAACTTTCAATGTACAATCCATACAGTAGTGGTGTGGTTGCATCATTTTCTATCAGGAAATGAAGTTACAAGAATATGAAGCGTTTAACCTATTCGATAATTTCTTAGTATCTATGGGGAGAAAGTTTTTTGTTGGTGTTGTCGACTTTGATCTTGGTAGTACAGTTCATGAGCGTTCTCATGAGTGGTTTCGTGATCGACACATAACTGCTACTCATATTTTCCCCATAGTCAATGACATTGAACTATTCTGATTTGAGTGTATTTTTAATGAAGAATCGGTAAGGGAGATTGACCTAGATGGTGACGAGGTAATCATATTTAATGAAGAACCATAGGATCTTGACATGCTGGGGGAGCGAATGATGATGTCATTCCATATATTGCACCTCATGTTTCTTATTACCAGCCACTATCCCACTTCACAACGGTTGATATAGAACCTTTCAATCCTCCAAAACTTTCACAACTCTCACATCTTGATCAATACAACCACGTGGTGATGGTGAGATCTATATTGGAATGACTTTCAGAATAAAAGAACTCAATGTGACTGCCATTAAAAACTACAATATATATCACTCGGTTGCATCGATTGTGAAAAAATAAACGCGGACAAGTATATGGTTGAATGTATCCACAAGTATGAGGGATATAATTGGAGGGTTCATTTATCACACTTAAAGATGATGATTAACATATGAAAGCTAAAAAAATAAGACCAACCTTATAAATGCACCACCTGGAGGCTCACTTAGGATCATCCGAACTTAGATGTTCACGTTCTTTCATACCACTCGTAAAAGTAAATCCACGCATAACTATTTCCGTATTGCTGCAATTATATCACAATACGACTACACAGTTAACTACCATAAAGCATGGTAAACAAAAAATGTATGGCCAATAGGAAAAGCGTATAAAGAGTTGTTACCATGGCTAAAATTGATGAAGAAACACATATCGGGAATGATTGTGAAATTTGAAACTATGTTGACGTAAAAAAATGATAGTGACGTACAAGGTATGTGTCAATTTCACATGTTATTTTGGATATTTTTGCAGTATGTTAATACATTTCGTCACTGCAAGCCTATGGTTTATATTGACGACACTTGGTTGTACGAAAAATACACACAAATATTGTTGTTGGTGGTTGCACAATACGACAATAAGAAAATTATTCCCATCGTCTTCGTAATAGTATAAAAGGAATACATAATCTCTTGGGAATTATTCTTTAAGTACTTGTACAAATATATTCTATCACATGTTTTGTGTGAGCGTTCTGGTGGGATATGTCTTATTTCTAACAGAGACATATTGATCAGAAACGCAATCGAGTGTATGAGACTGTCTTGGTAACCTTCTATTATTTATGACATACTTCGAATGAGTACGTTTTTCACTCTTTTTGAGATACATATATCTTTTCATTTAATATTTATAATTAACCGTTGCATTTTTAATGGCTAGGCCACTCGTATTCTGTACGTGATGTTGATGAGTTGTTTCAAGAATTAAAACATATAAATCAAGAAGGCCACAACTGCATTGCTAAAATCCCGAAGGAGAAATGATTTCGATCATTTGATGGGGGTAAACGATATAGTCACGTGATAACGAACTTGACTGAGGCGATTAATTCATCACGGAATGAAATGTGACATTTGCTTATCACTTCCGTTGTCAAAGTAACATATTATCGGTTGACAATCCCATTTGCAACCTTGAGAAGGAAACCAATTGATTGGATTACAGGTGGCCACAAAACTCACTCAGACCTCCAAAGAAAATATCAAACCTTTTTGTATTACTCAAACGCGATGAATGTGACGTGCTTCTCTTGTAAACAAAATAAATTTCATGTTTTGGAATATTCGAGGCCATTGGTAGGCATACAACACAACACATATGTTGTCAATATGCGTGACAGAACCTACAATTACGGAGTATTCTAAACATTCAAATACCTGTGTTCGCACGTCATTACTTGTTTTCTGTATGATTTGACTACACGCAATTCGTTTATCCTATATACTTGAAATTGCATTCAATGTGTATCAGTACGAGTTTCCTCCCATTGGAAACAAAAGGGATTCAGATGAAGTTGACGATTAACCTAAAATACAACCTGATTTAGCATTACGACGCGATAAAAAGGGTCGTCCACAATCAATGAGGATTTACTGTGACGAGGATTTGGTCGAACATCAAGTAAGAACTGGGCAGTCGAAGCTATGCAGTATTTGTAGGAATCCCGGACACTCGAAGAACAAATGTCCTAATTGATCACACCCTCATATCAATTAATTTGTTTTAAAAGAATATATTTTTATGTTTTAAATATATCATCAAATCGAATATAATGTTAAAATTTATTTAAATTATTAATTAAGTTTTAATTATTAATTTGTTTAAGTTATCATTCAATAATATAATTTTTTCGACACCCCGAACATGCCTATTAAGCCATGTTAGCTTCTTCTTCATGTAGAAAACTAAGCTTTGAAACCATTTTGAACGTAATTTTTACCCCCTTATAATGTCTCGTATGTGCCGATAATAACTTTTATTGAAATATAAGTATCAATATTATGTCTCTAATCTTATAAATGATGATAATTTTCATACTAACTTCATGAAAATACTCCCTGAACATGTCTATCAAGTCATGCTAGCTTCCTCTTTATGTAGAAAACCAAGCTTTGAAACAATTTTAAAAGTGATTTTACCCCGATTACAATGTCTCGTATGTGCTTATACTAGCCTCAATTGAAACATAAGTATAAATAATACACCTTTAATCTTACAAATGACGAAAATTAACTTCCCGAAAATACTCCCCGAACATACTTATTAAGTCATGTTAGCTTCTTATTCATGTAGAAAACAAAGCTTTGGAACTATTTTGAACGCGATTTTTACAACCCTTAAAATGTCTCGTATGTGTCGATACTAACCTCAATTGAAAAATAAGTTACAATACTACATCTATAATCTTATAAATGACGAAAGTTTCAGACTAACTGCCCAAAAAACCCTCGAATATGCATATCAAGTCATTTTTGCATTTTCTTCATGCACAAAACAAGTTTTGAAACCATTTTCAACGTGATTTTTAATCAGTTTACAATATATTGTATGTCTCGATATTGACCTTAATTGAAAGATAAATTCTAATACTACGCTTGTAATCTTATAAATTACGAAAAAATTTAGATTAAATATTCGAAAAAAACCCATTAAACATGACTATAAGCACTTACGATTTGGGTTGGGAAACAAAATATCACGCATATCAGAAAACGCAAGGTCTGTTGAATATCACTCGCGATAAATTTCTCGATATGTTTCAATATCTCAAGTATCTTGTGTTATGTGTAATACGAGATCATTAATATCAATATTAAATTGTATTATCGAAAAAAATGTGTCGACGTCAAGCATATCCCGCTCCGTGTAAGTAGCGAGACCCTTACTCATATTTCTTAGGACACGAGATGGTCATACTGTACGGTTTAAAAGTTTTTTTCTAACAGTACTGTTAAAAAAAATTAATGAGGGATTTATAAAATAATAACGCGGATTAAAGTGGTATGAAGGCGATTGTGGATTCCACATTACGAGGATGACTGAAAATACGACTTGCAGCCCCCAAGTGTTTAGCAGTGTGAACGCTGTGTCAAATGGCCGATATAGTTTCTGATCTAATTTCGATGATTTATTTTCTCGATTTAACCAGTGGGAAAGAGAAACTCAAATGTTAAAAAGAAAATTTGCTTAATTCCAAAGCAACAAGATGGTGATGCTCGTAGCAGAGTGGCAGGCAGCTGGGTTTACTACAGATGAGGTGACGTTTCTGGCCCAGAACACCAGTCTCCACCACACTATAGCCCATTATCGGAACTCTTCATAGCCACCTTAAACTTCGTAGCCCAACACTATGCGAAGTTTCCAGATCCCTCTACGTCATAATAATTGTTGTTTTATCAATTACGGCTATCATTTTTTTGAATAATTATATATATATATATATATAGATGTCATTATATTTACGTCGAATCAAACCCCTAATAGGAGAATAAAATGTTTTATTGTTTATTTACAAAAAAATTAACAGATATTAATTTGTAGGATAAATTATATTTTTGGTCCTTCAACTTTGTTTGTGTTTGTGTTTCTGTTTCGACTTTAGATTCTTTCAGTTTCACCCTGAAAGTTTTAAATTTCACTTGTTTTAACCATTTTGATATTATTTTTGAAGAATAATTATTTTGATACTAAATCTTAATACCGTTTAATTTTTTGAGCAAATTCTATGTAAAGTCTCCCTAAAATTGTTCTCTCAAATTCATATTTTTAGAAAATATTTTGTTCTAAATACATAACAATAAAGGGAAAAAATAATATGTTTTGATTTAATGTTGATTAAATAATGAAAATCATTATATTTATTCAAAAATTTTCTTAATCAACTAATAAAATACTTATGTCCTGATGACTCGGTAAATAAATAGATTCAAAAACTTACATATATATCTTTTTGATTAACCAGTGAATATCAGATAATTGAAACAAATAATTTATACATTTTCTAAAATTTAAGTGATAAAATAAAACATGAATCAAATTAAATGACAAAAATATATATTTTTCCTTTTTTATCGGTGGGCCTGGTAGACGGGAATTAATGGAAAGTATTATTCAGCCTTTTCCAATTACCAAAAACTGACAAAATTCACTAAACTTCGATTCCTTCGTCTCTATAACGTCTGACCCTTTCATGTCCCAATCCACTGAATTTCTCTTTTCCCTTTTCCTCCTCTTAGACCCTATACTTCTGTCACAAACTCTGAATCGTACGTTGTCTTTCTTTCTCTCTCCTACTATTTTTTTGTCGGTTTTCCCCACTATTTATAACCCATCCACGGCTTTCTTCCACCGTTGTCTGCTCATTTTCAGTTGAACTGGAAAACCCACACCAACAAAGATGCACCCAGATTAAGAAATAAGGGAAGTCTCTTCTGATAAAAAGAGAAAACCTCAGCTTTTTTCTAGCTTTGCTTGAGGTTTTGATGAATCCCTGGCGATAGTTATTATGGCTGTCCAAGCACAGTTTTGTTATGAAAATATGAGTTTGCCTTTGCCTATTCTTCCTTCATTAGAAATTGGTTTTAGTCTTCAGGAGTTTCCTTCTCAACAAAACGCTCAGAGCTTGGTTTCCATGATGGGTTATCAACCTTTAGATGCTCAACTGGAGATTCAAAGGCAGGAACTTGATTGTTTTCTTCAGTTACGGGTAAGGAATTCATTATATCATTTACGTTGACTGTATTATCTCTTTTCGTAGCTGAAAATTCTTTCTTTTGTTTTCATGTTATAAAACTCAGAATGAAAGACTAAGATATGCGTTACGAGAACAAAGGAATGAACAACTTGGAAATCTGTTAAAGACTTTGGAATCAAAGGCAATGTATTTGTTGACGCGAAAGGAAGAAGACTTGGTACGAGCAACAAATAAAAGAATGGAGCTTGAAGCGTGTTTAAGAGAAGTGGAAATGGAATGCGAGTCATGGCAAAGACTTGCACAAGCCAATGAATCAACGGCTATGGATCTTAGCAAAAGACTTGAACAAGCTAAAGACAGTTCAGCTGAAGACGAAGAGTCCGCTGAAGACGAAGAGTCCTGCAATAAAGATCAACAACAAGAAAGAGACGATAAGATGGCTTGCAAACACTGCAGCTCTAGGAGTTCATGCGTTCTCTTTTTACCTTGCAGACACCTTTGCTCCTGCAAATCATGTGAACCATTGCTTGTTTCTTGTCCCTTCTGTAAATCTGTAAAGGAAGGGAGCATTAAGGTTTTTTTGGTTTAATCAAAGAAGAAGAAACTAATGCTCGTTCAGTCTGGCTTTTTTCCCCAAAAAATCATATTTTTAATTTAATATTATTGATCAGGCACTGGTCAAACTATATTTTTTGATTTAACACTTTTTGCAGTAGGGCGCACCCTTACAGTGCGTTATACGTTGATTTGGCGCTACGTAGAGTAAAACGCGACCCTTAAGACGTATCTTATACTGACATGAATACACGTGTATATGGCGCGGGACAGGGGTCGCGTCTTACCTCACATAAAATATAACGCGAGGCAAGGGCCGCGCTATTCAATTATCTCAATTATTAAACATACATAATGCAAAGTGCAGTGCAAAGACCACGTCTTACATTATTTTCTCAAACTTCTCGACTTTAAGACATCATATCTTAGCTATAAATAGCCGTCTCCCGTAAACTCTCTCACCAACAATCCTTTGAATAAGTAAATAATATCCGACAATCATCTTATATTTGATTCAGAAGTTTGCTCGATCTTTCGCTATAAGGTAATTTTGTTATAATATTTATTTTATAGTTATATATGATTATTTGAAAAAATATTATACTAATTGTTTTCAATTAATTTATGTGTTTGTAGAATTAGAAAGTAGGAGCATATGTCGAAATATTTTTGCGGTGTACGTAATAATATAAAATTATATTATTTAAATTATTTATGTTTATGTGTAAAAAATTTATTCTGTTAAATTTTTTGTCATATATTATTTATTTAATCATGTTTGTTTCAATTGTTTTTTTGCAGATATAATATTGTTGCACTTTTAAACTCTAAGAATGACTCGACTTTCAGCTATTGTTTATTATGATGGAGAAATTCGAGAAGATGAAATCGGCATTGTATTCGTATCAAATGAGCGTGTTAAAATATCATTCAAGAGAAACATAACTCTTGAAGAGCTGATAACGAAGATTTCGATGAAGGTTCATGTTGGAAGTAGTAGAAGAATGTCGTCGTTGCAGTACAGATTTCCAACATTATTGTTGCCATTAATTTATACAGCATTCGAATTATCGAACAATGGGGATGTTGAAATGATGATTGATTCTCAAAGTAATTATTCAGACGTCGATATTGAGATGTATGTAAAGTTTGTTCAAGTGCGTGCTGTTCGGGGTCAGCCATTAAGCTCACATTATGGGCTGGCTGAACAAGTTGATCAAGTTGACAGCCTGACTACAGTAATGTGTAATGATTTTAATGCCATAATGGGAAATCCACATCATGGTGCCGACACATCAACTTCAATGAAGAGACATTCATCCGCAACTCCTTACGATATGTACTGAGGTGGGTCCACGAACAATCCGTATGGCAACATCGCGTCCAGTTCGAGGGGAAGACATTCATCTGCAAATTTCTTTGACCTTAATATGGAGATGTCATCGATGAAACAATCTGTGCAGTTTCCATTTGACACGATGACTTCAAGCTCCAGGGGGAGGCATTCAACTGCGAGCTTTTTCGATCTTAATCAAGATATGCCTTCTAGTTCAAGGGGAAGGCGTGCCAGTAGTAGGTTCTTCGACCTAAATGTGGAGAGCATAGAGGAATCATCATCTCCATTAGAAGAACCGCTTCGTGAGCCTGGTGTGGATGGTGCTGAGACTGGACTATTCATTCACCTAGAATCACCACAATTCAACTCCGATGATGATGATGATGTAGATGAAATTCCAGCAAATGTGACACAAACTAACCCTCCAACACACATGTATGAAGCTGATTATGATGCAATGTACGGGTCAGGATTTGCGGATATGCCTCATCTCGGTGACTATGGATATTACTCATCAATAAATAATGGTGAGTTATCTTTAGGCATGGAGTTTTCAAGCAAGGAAGAAGCGATGATGGCTATCAAAAATTACTTTATCTGTAATTTTGTTCAGTCCAGAGTCGATCGCTCCACGACCGAAAAATATGTATGCTATTGTGCCCGACGTGAAAATGGATGCAGTTGGATGGTTTGTGTATCGAAGAGGAAGAAGAAAAACAATAGATGAGAACTAACAGTATACAACGATCCTCACACATGTTATGCTGGAGGGGTCAACCAAGATCATCCCAACTTGGACTTTGAAGTGATATGTCAAGCCATCATGCCCATGGTAAAAGCAAGCTCTCATATAGTTGTTGCTGTGTTGATTTCAGCTATACAATCGCAGTATGGGTACACTGTCTCCTATAAAAAAAGCTTGGTTGGCAAAACAAAATGTCATTGTCAAACTTCATGGCGAATGAGATACATCTTACAACGAACTTCCAGGCTATTTTAGGCTGGTGTAGAGGTTGAATCCTGAGACAATTGTGGACTTTGAAACCTCCTATGCATACTATAATGATCGAGTTCTCCGCGATCGATGCCAATTCCACAGTGCGTTAATGATGTCAAATACTGCAAGCCTATGGTCCAAATCGACGGGACTTTCTTGTATGAAAAATACAAGCAAGTTTTATTATTGACAGTTATCCAAGATGGCAATCGCAACATTCTTCTAGTTGCTTTTGCTCTTGTCGAAGGAGAAGATACAGATTCTTGGGCTTTTTTCCTCCGAAATTTACGTGCATGTGTTATCACGAGGGAAAACATCTGTGTCATTTCAGATCGCGAAGCTGGGATCAAAGCAGCAATAGAGTCTTTGGGTTCAATGTGGCAACCACCCTTTATCCAACATAGGTATTGTCTCAGACACATTGCTGCGAACTACCATGGAAGGTATAAGAAGAATGATGAGCATCAATTAATTGTGCGCATGGATAAGTGAAACTGATGTAGTTTGTTTTCTTTGGATCGTTTTAATTTTGCAAAGAAACCAAGTTAGTAAGTTATATATTTTTTTATCAGGTTACGAACTACTTCCTCGAATGTTTGAATCAATGCTTCATGATTTGCGGGCGAAGAACGAGGAAGGATACAATTACATCAGCCTCATCGATAAAGAAAAGTGGACGAACGCATATGATGGTGGATATTAATATGGACACATGACGGCCAACTTGGCAGAGGCAATCAATTCAACTTTAAAGGGTGCACGTCACTTACCAGTAACGGCTTTGGTAAAGACTACATATTTTTATTTGGGGGCGCTTTTTGCGAAGCTCGGGGGACAAGCTCAAACCTGAATGCAAGGCGGTCATGTCTATCACCCTAGATTAGTTGCAGATCTACAGAAAAAAAATTCTGCATCAAATGGAATGTCTGTAACAAGCTTCTCTAGAAGGCATGAAATGTTTCGTGTCACAGAGTTGCCGCGACCTCTTCAAGGGATTAAAACTGTGTCGTTAAGAGTAAATCTAAGGGACAGAACATGTGACTGCGGGTTTTTCAAGCTCTTAAGTATCCATGCTCTCATGTGAATAAAGACCCTGATGAGGTTCAAGATTGGATTTCGATTGTACCAAATCTGAGTTTTATTGAGGGAGTGTGGTCGTCCAAAATCCAATCGAATTCATTGCGATATGGATATTCGAGAAAGATCTAGACAAGACAGAAGATATGAGCATTGTAGAAACCCAGGACACACTAGAAAAACATATCCACTTCTGTTGCCATCAAGTTACAATTGATGAGGAAATGATGTATTTGTTTATCAAATAATAATTCTTGTACTTTGATTTGCATTTACTTCAAGTTAATTTCATTCGATAATCGCTGATGAAGATTAAAAAAATGATACAATAATACGAGATTGGACGTTTGCGTTATATGTGATTATAATAAAAGAGATAATAAGTGACAAACTTAAGAAAGTTATCGAACAATTTGGTATTTCAAAATAATTTTAAATACAACAAACTTACAATAAGTATTAAATGGTAAATGATAACCAAATTACAATAACAGATATTAAATGGTAATAAACAAAATTAAGTGAAATACATTTAAAAAAAAGTCAAACAAATTTAACAAAATAAAGTAAGTATTAAATGAGAAATAATAAACAATTACAATTAAAAAGTCCAATAAACTAAATACAAATATAATAAAAAATATATTGATGCATGCGATGCGAATGTGTTTCGCAGGGCGGAGGCTGTCGGTCTCGAGGAGGATTTCTTCGTATCACTGGTTGTGACTCCTCGCTGTCGTCATCGTCGTCGTCGTCCTGAGTAGATACATTAGGTTGATGAGGAGCTAATGACGATGAAATACCTCCATAGAATAAAGACCCTGGAGGTGTATGACTGACTATCCCACCGGCATGCGAAAACTGGGAAAACTCATAAAACCCAGACATCGCTGAGTATGAAAACTGTACAGGATGTGTCAGTGCTGCGGCCATGGGTGATGAGGCTGAACCCGCCAAATATCCAATATATGAACCTCAAGTCGGATCTGCAAACATAGATCCATAATAGCCTCCAGGAGGGGTCATTTGTGACGGTGGTGGCGGCGGGGTCATAAAAACAGGTGAAGGCGGTGGCGGTGACATCTAGTAATGGAAAGGCAGTGATGTCATCATATATGGCTGCGGTATGTAAGTCGTTAGATACAGTGGCTGCTGTGAAAGTCCTGCTGGTACAGCTGAGGATGAACCGGATGCACCTGCTCTCCGTCCACGAGTCGGGGGACGATGGTGTTGTGTCGGTGAACGTCTCTGTCGACGTCGCGGAAAGGTCTGCTCTCGTGCATTTTCAGGAAGCAGAAATGGTTTACCGTTACTGTTGAACCACTCGTAATACTGTCAGTAACCATAAAGAGGTCAAGTAAAATGGGCTATCTAAGGGGAAGGTGTCGATGTTGATCCTCCCACAACACGACCCATGCATGATACCTCACCAGCCAATATGTATCTTTCTTTCCGCTTCTATCTGTGTTATGAAACTCGTCCATATTACGAGGTGCTTCCGGAATTGGTTGAAAACAACCAAATTGCTGGAGCACGTGATCAGTGAAGTGCCACTCGACGGTCGCATAACAGATCAAGGGGATCATCGCCATCCAAACATCTGATGGGCCCCTCAACTCAGGTGGGATCACCGCTGTCAC